TGTATAAAATATCAACATTATATTTTTTACTGTTTTACTATATTTTCTTAACTAAAATATATTTGAGAATTTACAACTAAACAATAAAATAATAAAATAAAATTTCAATTTAAATATATTAGGATGAATGATATTTCATTATATTATGTTTTATGATAAAGATGTAATTATGAAAAAAAAAGTTTAAATGTATCATTTAACATCTTATTTTACAATCAACCCTTCCAACTGTTGGATATTTTTAGCTTATTTAACACAATAAAATTTTTTCTTTAAAAGTACGCTTTGTTAATTTAGATGTTTGATATATAAGAAATTAAAATATTTGTTTTAAACTTATATTGAAAAATATAATCAATTACAAAATATTAAGAATAAATAATAATCTAAGACTTTTAAAAAAAAACAAAAGACGTTGCTTTTAACTTTTACAAATGTGTTGAAAGACAAATCTCATAGATAACAATTAAGTGGGCCTTAATTTCAAAGGCAATCGGAGATAAAAATATTGTACCAGCAAGTTGGTGAGAGTTTGGTTGGGTCAAGTGCGTAAAACACATTATAGTTGTGGCTAAACAAGAAGCAAAATTGTTCCATCTATTTCAAAACAGCAACAATAGTTTTAACAGGGGCTCCAGTTTCCAATTCTTATTTGGGGGGAGAGTCGAATCACATCATAACAATTGTTAGGGAGAAGAAAACACAATATACATTTTAAAACATTAAACTTTAACATCCTTGGGCAACAGGGAACCAGGTTATTTGAGTTCAGAGCCTACCTAAAACATGAAGAACCCAAAAATCCAAGAAAATGAAACTGGAGATGGCATGTGGGGCTCTAGAGAAACCTCACTTGCCTCCCAAAGTTGGGAACTGCCCGGGGTCTTCAATGGAAGGTGTGCTGCCACATTACTTGCTTCACTGCCACCTCCAAATCCTCTTGAACCACGCCCGCGACCACGCCCACGTCCACTTGGGTTGTAGTACCTCTCCCCTTCAGCAGGCTTCAGAAATTCATTAATGCTCAGAGCCTACCACCACAAGTATAAGGATCAATACATGCCACAAACTTTATTCATGATCAAGATGGAAACATGGAAGGAACACACATCCACATGCTTTGCAAATTAAGCCTCGGGCTCAGGGAAGAGAAAGGATTATAGATAAAAATTTAAATCAAGTTAATATTAATCAATGAAGGCTCAGGTAAACTGGAAAAAAAGATCACAAAAACATAAGAAAATACCTTTTTGGCTCTCTCTTCCTTCTCATAAGCGTCTTTTCTCCTATCCTTATCAGAGCCCTATACAAGAAAACCAGAAGGGCAGATGATTACTGCATATTTGACAACAAATAAGACAAATAGTTCATGATAGTCTCTTCTAAAGTGAATCAATGGGTCTCACCAACTTGATGAAAACCTCAGCATCATTGTTCTTCTTGTTTGAAAGCTGCTTCATAGACTCAAACTCCTTGGCATCAACTTTTCTTCCCTCAGTCTTGAGTGCCTGCAAAGCCTTCCTTTTCTCTTCCAGCACCTTCTCATACTCCTCAAGAGTCATCTCCTATTTCAATATCAAAGGTCACACACAGTAATAGCCCTAGTTTGTAGCGTAGATCTACAATTACAAAAGGCTACAAAGATTAATAATCATCTCATGTGGATAAATTGTCAAGTGATTCTACCTTATCCTCAGGTTCTTTTTCTTATGTTTCATCTGTAGGGTTCTCCTTTCTAGCATCTCCTCTATCCTCTTCTCCTGCTGGCTTCTCATCAGCTAAATTGTTATTCATTTCGTTGGCATCATTGGTGACCCTGAAAGAAGCAAAGACAAAATCTCATGTCCCTCAATGATTACAATGATGAAATAAGAACAATACAAAGTGATGGTTTTATTTGATTTTACAAGGCTTGAATTCTAAGAACCAAAGACAACTCACTGATATAGTTCATCAGTCTGATTTCCCCAATTCCCACGACCAGAGCCTTCACGTTTGAACTCATTTCTGCAGACATAAACAACAAACAAAAAGCATCACTTTCTGAGACTTGGATAAATCGCTGAAACCAGAGAATATCAAGATAAACAGTCAAAAAAATAATCTTTTACCCACGCTCAGTCCCACTATGGCGCTCAAACACCCTGCGAGGTCGCTCCCCATCTCTAGCTTCGCCATTACCAAAGCCACCACCACGATAAGGCCGCGAACCACCATATCCACGCCTTTCAGAAGACTTTCCACTCTCTCCCTCTTCAAGTGCACCTTGACCACCAGGAATAACAATATTGCTGAATGAGTTCTCATCATTGGCAGTATCACCTCTGTATCCAGCATTTCCACTACGACCACGTCCATATCCACGGCCTCCGCCACGAGTACCTTCAGTCTTTGCCTCCCTCACTTCAGAGGTTAGTAGTATTAATTTAAACATAACTAAAGAAATATAAGTAAAAAGATCCTCAGAATAATAACTTTCAAACTTGTCATGATTTTGTACTACACGGGAAGAGAGTATAACTGAAACATTCTCTGTACAACAAACGAAGCTATGGCAAAATATCGTGAACCCACTTCAAAATCCTCACAACTCAACCTTAAAAAAAGGGTAACGTAAGCTTAACAAACCACTAATCTCAGGACAGTACATAAAACACTAAATTTTTTATATTAAAACATTATTTCTGTTGATTAAGAAGAAAACACTGAAGAACCAAATAATATAAGCAGATGAAAACAACGAGTAACTTTTATAGGTTAAGCTTACCGGCCTGAGCAGGAGGGAGAGGCTTGGAGGGAAGCTTAGCTTGTTTAGTCTGAGTAGGCTGCGGCTTAGCCTGAGACTGAGCCGGGCACTTCTTTGGAACGGCGGTGGCGGTTGAGACAGGCTTTTGCTGTGCAGCGATCAGTACTCAAAGCTCCCCGGTATCATCATCTCCCAACAAATCAAAAGGGTTCGAGCTCGCCATTACTTCAATCAAAAACACCCAAACTAACCCCCTCCAAAGATATATATAAAAAAATTACACAAAACATCCATTGATAATTATATTATACTTTACAATCAAACTAACCTTCCAATAATATATCTGCAAGAAAGTGAAGTGAGAAAAGAACAAAGAAAGGGAAAATGGAAAGAATTTAGAGAGAGAGAAACCCTAACCGCCAAAAGAGGGGAGAAGGGATAGATGGAACCTGATCTGAACCTTAAAGGTTTTTTGCCCATTTCTTCTTTTATTAAAGGGTAAATTACACCTCATATCACTAAAGTTTCAGTGTATTTTTATTTTGGTTATTAAATGTTTAGTTTGTTTTGTTTTGATCATTAAAATTATTGATAAATCATAAAATAATCTTCGTTAATTTTTCATAGTTTGATGACCTAACACATTAATAAAAAATTAGTATTTAATATAATTTTAAAACTATAATTAAAATTTTAATTCAATTCTTAATAAAGGATTTCATTTTATAAAATTATTAAAATCTTCATTTTCATTAATTAACTTATCATTAACTTTATCAATTCTCACTTCTCAATATCACTCCAATATTTTCTTTAACTATAAATAAATACATGATATTTGATATAAAGGTTATAATGGTAGGAGATATTAGGATTGTAAACGAGTTGAGTCAAGTTTGAGTATGTTGAGTTTAACTCGACTCGAAAAATTTAAAGTTGGATTTTCCCCGACTCGAAAGTTCACAAGTTTAAAATTATCAAGTTTCATTCGAATTCAAAATAAAAAATTGAAGCTCGAACTCGAAAAAACTTGAACTCGGAATATTTTCAGACTTAGCTCGATTGAAACTTGAACTCAAGCTTAATTCAAACTTGAATCTAAACCTTAAATACATAAAAATCTTATGTTACACTTTTCTAGAAATAACATATACATATTAATATTATTAATAATTTAATTTAAAAATAAAAAATTAATATATTTTTTTAAATTGTTCACAAGTTTTTTGAATTAAGTATAATATTTTAATTCATTAAAAATTTGAGTCGAATCTATTCAATTTGATCATTGATCAAATTGAACTCGAAAAAACTCATGACTCGTCTCGTCTCATTTACAATCATATGAGACATGATAGAATTGACAGTAACAATGTGATTTGTTAATAACTAAAATGTAATACTTTAGTGACCAGACCACTGATGTAATTTACCATTTTATTTTCATAGTTGGTAGCGGATTGTGGCCGTGAGTTAGTGGGGTTTTCATTTTTCAGGAATAATGTGACGTTTGGTTCGTTGGAATATTTCTGAAGGAATTGGAATCTGTGAAGGAATTGAAATCTGTAAGGAATTGAAATCCAATTCTATATTCTATCTGGTTCGTAGAAAATTGAATTGGAATTCAATTTCATATTCTGTTTGGTTCGCAGACATGTCATATAAATTTCATTTCAGTAATATAAAATGACATGATTGCCCTTCTTATTGTTTTTGCTCAATTTTAGTTTGTTTTATAAATTACATGTAGCAATATATTATAAAAAATTTAAAAAAAATTAAAATTTAATTTTTTTTGATTGATTATTCATTTTTAATAAATTATAAAAATCATACTAATAAACATTATAAGTTAAAATCATCCTAGGGATGATCATGGGTCGGGTTGGGTCGGGTTTTTGGTCCACCAGACCCGACCCGAGTACAAGGGAACCTCCATCCGAGACCCGACCCGACCCGAAATAATAAAAAAAACTATTTTTATTCAATAAAAATAATGACTTAATTGGAAAAAATATATAGAGAGGTGTATTATTGTAATTATTCCTAAATATATAAGGTAAAATTCTATATTTTTTGGGTCGGGTCGGGTATTTTTCACCCTAAACCCGAACCCGACCCGATCGACCCGAATATCACACTTAAAAAAACCTGAACCGACCCGACCAAAATAAAGTTTCACCGAGCCGACCCGAATATATGAATTAGAAATCCGACCCGACCCGAAATAATAAAAAAATTATTTTTATTCAATAAAAACAATGACTTAATTGAAAAAAATTATATATAGAGGGGTATTATTGTAATTGTTCCTAAATATACAAGGTAAAATTATATATATTTTCAGGTCAGGTATTTTTCACCCTAAACCCGAACTCGACCCGACCCGAATATCACACTTAAAAAAACCGACCCGACCCGACCAAAATAAAGTTTCACCCGACACAACCCGAATATATGAATTAGAAACCCGACCCAACCCGAAATAAAAAAAAATTATTCAATAAATGAATAAGTTACCAAAAGATTGATGAGGGTAGTATGGTCAAATTTCAATTCCCTCCAACAAGGGAATTGAATTTCATCCATTCTTGGATGGAATTCACTTTCCCTTATTTGATGGAAAGTTGAAGCCATGAGATATTTCAATTCCCTTAGAAAACTTGAACCAAACATGGGAAAGTGGTGGAATTGTATTCCAATTCCCCCTAATTCCAAGGGATTCATGTCAATCAAACGCCACCTAAAATTTTTGTGAGATTTACTATTATGCAACAATATAGACACGCTTTTTACATTAATTAATATGGACACAAATAAAATGATAACCAAAAGATCATATAGATTAGATTATCTAATTTATTAAATGAAAATATTTTATGTAAAATATTTATATTATGAAACATTAAATAGGAAAATAATTATAAATAAAAGTATATAATTTATTTATTGGTTAAGTTAAGATAATTACAAAGTAATATCACCATGTTGCAATTACTAGTATTCGAACTCATAATCTTTAAGAACAACAATAATTTATTTAACCTACTAAGATAAGTTGATTTATATCCATGTGTTGTTGGGTTCAAAGTTAGTTGGTTGGGTTCTGCTTGAAAGGTATAAGCCCAAACCTATGTATATTTACTATCGTCCACTCTCGTCATAATGTACAATCGTTCACCTTGCAGGGTCATTTGGACTACCATAGCCTCATACCCAAATGGGCCACTGCCCCCCGACATGTAATTTGTAACTTAAATCTCAACGATTTTATATGGCCTGTCTGTCCTGATTATTCGGAGGTCATGTTTTCAAGTTACTAGGCTTTATATCAACCCAAAGTTCAGTTATATTTTCGATTCAACTCCCATTTTATCCAAACTTGATCCGAACTCAGTTATCTAAATAGATTTATTCGATTTAAGATCTAATATAAATTAAAATTAAAATAGACACAAATTTTACCTAGATCAATATATATAGAGAGAATTATTTTGACCTGAATCAAAAGTAACTCAAACTAAAAGTAATTTGAGCTGAAATTAAATAAAATCGGGAGGAACCCGAATCGAAAACAAAATAAATTTAATTTATCAAAATCTAATTTGAACATAACATCAATTCAATTTTGATTGAGTCAAAATGAATAAATAATTTGTTTTTATTATTATGTATTTTTTAGCAATATGATAAATACTAAAATGATGTATGTTTTATTTTGTTTTTTTTAATAAACTATGTTTTTAATACTTAAATTATCAGTTTTGATTCGTATTAATACATCAACTTTCATTTTTTTTCAAACCCATACATAACATTTAGTTTATATTTCGTTTTAGTACCCCGCGTTAAAAACTTAACAAACGGGCTGATGAGGCATAACTTCGGTGGATGGACAACCAATTCGAATGTTAGACCATGAGAGAATGACGAGTTGACCAACATAGTTCAATTTCAAGCCATTGAACGATGAACCATGAAGATCAGAGGATAAAGAAATCGAATAGTTCATCGTCAATTTGGGGAGATTAAGGCATTTACCGATGAAATGGAGTCCGGAATCGTATTCAAGAGATCGAAAAAGCTACGAGTTGGAAATTTTGGGCTTCATCGATCGACATTTACTACAACTGACAACTATAACGCGATGACCGACGAGCCTACCTATTTTTTTAACGATGATGTACTAAAATGAAACAAAAAACAAACATTATGTATGACTTTGAGAAAAGTGATAGTTTAAGTACTAAATCAGACTAAAACAACTAGTTTAAGTACTAAACAATTAGTTTACCATTTATTTTTATATTATACTAATAATTAACCACAACACTTGGCGGTAGTTTAATAGTTTAGTATCATTATACTACCAGTTTGAATTGACTCGAAGATCTAAAAGTTAATCCAACCTACAAATTAATCGATTTGATATTAACTCAATTTGAAATTAAATAACTAAAAAATAACCTATTTGATATTGATTCTACATAAAAATTGATCAATATGATATTAAATTGAATAAAAAAATTGTATGATCCAATATTGAATTGACCCGAAATTGATGGATACAATATTTTACTCAATTTGACAACTAACTCGTCACGACTTGCCATAGATTAAAATTAAATCCAAGTTAAATTCCATCCAAATTGAACATCTTTTGAATGTAATCTAGACTCGAAATGATTTGAGCTAAATTACCCGATTGCCACCTCTAATGAGAAATCACTTGAACAGTGTTTAATTTTTAAATACAAATGTTATTGTTAAAATAAATTAAATTAAAAATACATATTTATAATAAATTTATATAATATCTAAATTTAAATTAATCGATCAATCAAATAAGAATTAATTATAGTGAAAGGCGTACAAATGCTAATACTCCTCGTTTAGTGCAGAATTTAGATGTAGATTAAATATTTTGCACTGAAAAAAGGCCTTTGGAGTGTGGGAACTAAGAAAAAGAAAGAAAGAATGAAGTAACCCCACACCACCTTTTCCTAATTCCAACACACACAAATCCACAAAGTCCCACACTTTGAAACAAACCACCACCCTCTTTTCAAAAAGCAAAGGCTACAAGGCCCACACTAGGTCACCAAACCCTATTGTGTGTGGGCATGAAATTTAAGCTTTTCTGATCCCCCAACCCTGAAAATATTAACCTAATCATTCTAATCACTATGCTCGACTTTCATGGGATCGGTGCTCTCCTCACATGACAACTTGTCTAATCCATTCATCCTCACCCTCCACATCTAAAGCAAAAGTGTTCTCCAATCATCCTCTTCTCACCACTTCACCCCTTTCATTTCCTATCTTCAAACTATGTTTTGACTAAATTCTTGTCGTCTTGTAGAGGATTGGCCATTCAGATTTGGTTTTTTTTCTCTCTTTTCAATTCGGTAAGCAAAATAATAAATTAAAACACCTTTTCTTGTCCCAAATGGAAAAATCAGTGCTTTTGACTTAAACAGTCTCTCCGCTAGGTATCGGTTATATCGTGAATATCTATTGACTTACTTATAGGGAAGGGATGGTGACGGATTGAGTTTATTAATTTTGAGAGAGATTTTTAAGAATATAGTTCGATGAATTGAATGTTGATATTATGATGAATCTTACGATAAATTTAAGATTCGTCAACTACTGTATGCAACAGCCGACAACGATATTTGGAAGTTAATATTTTTTAATAAATAAAATATTTCATATCATAAAGTTACTCGACATTTAATGATCTAATAACATATTTATAAGCGATTTATAGTATAATTTACCCAAACTATTTTTTTAATCCAACCTGATTGAACATATACAAAGAAGAAAGAGTCGCCGCTATGAGTACAGGGTGTTTGGCAAATATTTTTTTTTAAAGATTTTTTTACTTATTTGAGCATAAATAATTTATTGGTAGTCAAATCTTTCATTTTTAGTTGCAAAATAAGTTGAAAATAAAAACGCTGGAAAAATCAACGGTTTCGAAAAACTAATTGTAAAATAAGATGCTAAATGACATATTTAACATTATTATTTCCATAATTACATGCTGGCTGGCTGTCCCTTGTTCCCATATGTAATAGGGTAAGGGAGATGTAAGATAGTAGGCTGCCCCCACACCAGGTTGAGAACAACTTCCGTAGAAGACCTCCGAATTATGAAATGTCCTCCGTGAGACTCGATTCACGACCTCAAGGTTAAAAACCTTATTATTTCCATAATTACATCATTACCATAAAACCTAATCTAATCGAATAGTCTCCATCCTAATATCTTTTAGTGAAATTTTATTTTATTATTATATTTTTTAGTTGTAGATTTAAAGATATATTTTAGTTAAGAAAATATAGCAAAACATGAAAGTACAAAAATATGTAATGTTGATATTTTATACAAGGTTAATAATATGTATCAATTTCATAAAGGTTAATATTTGTAAATATTAAATTTTAAAAATATATTCAAAATTTTCAAAAATATTCATGATTTTTCTTAAGGAATTTTTAATTCATTGTCAAAAGCATTTTATCATAATAATTTCACCCCAACCGAGACTAAATTATTATAAAACATATAGGTACTTAACAACTAAATGTATCATATCCTTATTTGTCATTTTACTCATATTAGCTATTAGATATATACTAAATTTTACCAAACATTTCTTTATAAACAATTAATCAAATTAGTTTCGAAAATCAACTAATTAATTCAATTAATCAAATCAACTACTAAAATCAAGTATAAGTTGTTTATCAAACGCCCCTATCTGTTTTAGTCTTATAGAAGAAAGCTTTTGGTGAAGAGTCATTGTCGATTCCCAGTGGAATAGAGTGTTTGCAATTTGCGTGGTACGTGACGGCGACGTGTCCGAAAGCTTGACTCCATTATGCTCGGACATTGAAACAACAATCGATACCGACTGAATGTACGGTCGCCCCTTGCCCGTGTAAAAATTGGCAGTAAAACCCTAAACGGGTCGAAATTGGGAAGCCAACGGTTGCGGTAGTTAACAGCAACAACACATGCAATTAGGTCAGAATAATTCACCGCAGTCCGTAGAAACGCGCGCACTAAAAAACGATCGCACTAATTTTACGGCTTGGAATTTTTTTTAGACATCCACTGTCGTCAATAAGTCTTAGTTGTCGCATCTCGCATCCTTGTCTGAATTTGTTAGGTGAAACGTATTTATAATTCCAACGCCAAACTTTAGATTTAGAACTATAAATCTTATTCGTAGAACCTAACATTTTTTATGT